CCCCCCCCCCCCCCCCTTTTCTAGTTCGTGAACAAGCTGGAGAAAGCAGCTCATGGAGAGGCTTAGAAAAACGGATTTTGAATCCTACCCAAAGTGGGACAATAACCTTCAGCTCCTGGACTCATCGAGTCGTTTTCCTTCGTTTACAGTGAAATCCCACTTTCTGGCTGGAGACACAGATGGCCTCAAATGAGAGAGATGCTATATCGTGGTATCAGAAGAAGGTAATAGCAGTAATTTTTATTTGTAAAGCTTATTTACTGCAGAAAGCTCCCGTAAAGAATATTGTTACTTTCCCTTGAGTTTGGTAATTCTGATATAATAGTATCTCAACATAATGGAAAAATTGATATGCAAGGTCATCATAAACGCAGTTCCAGGTCCCAGTTCCCAAGTCACCTTCTTCAGCCTGCATACACAAACCACTGAGATGCTTTAAAAATTTTGCTTCTGATCAAACTTTTTTAAAAAAAAGACACGAATGAAGGAAGTCCTTATTTGCATGGCCCAGATTGGTACTATCATCTTACTGAGCTGTCCCTTTTATTCCTTTCTGGTATTCCTATTGGTGTTTTCCTTAGGGAGTGGAAATATCTGTCAAGGAGATGCTGAATTTGAAGTATTTGAGTTTTTTTTTTTTTTTTTTTTTTTTTACTTTTAAATCCAGCCATTTTTTTTTTTTATTTTTGAATGGAATAGGCCTTGAATGTAGAGTTTATTTTAATGTGGGAAATATATTTTCCAGATATTATATGATAATAGACTCATGACTTTGTGAGGCTTGACTTAGCTATCTAAGGATTGCCTTTACATCATTTAAATAGCCTGCTCCTTATTTCAGATTGGAGCATATGATCAGCAGATATGGGAAAAGTCAATCGAACAGACTCAGATTAAGGTAAATTGATTTCTTTGATTCTAGCTTTGTCTTACTGATTTAACATGAAGAATGGATCATACTTTTTAAGAATATGCACTTATCCACCAAGTATGGCATTCTTTTATTCTTTGAACTTTATAAGAAAAACACCAGTGCATGTATAATGATGACAGATATATGGCCTCTAATAGCAAATACCCCAGGTAAATGGGAATATGGTTGCTTAGCTTTGATCAGTTTTTACCAGATGACAGTTCAGATCTAGTATTGCCAAACTTTTATTCAAGAGAAGCTGGATGCATTTTTTGAGAAATACCCCCCTCCTTTTTTTTTTTTGGTCTTTTTGAGACAGGGTCTCCCTGTAGCCCCAGCTGTCCTGGAACTCACTATATAGACCAGGCTGGCCTTGAACTCGCAGACATCCGCCTGCCTATGCCTCCCAAGTGCTGGGATTAAAGGCGTGCGCCACCATGCCCGGCCAAGAAATAGCCCTTTTTTTAAGAGGGTAGTTATCCTTTTCTTTTTTTCTCCATCTTCCTCCTACTCCTCTTCCTCCTCCTCCATCATCATCACCATCACGATGTAAGCCAAATAACATTCCTATCCAGCCTTTGGGTCCCATTTTTTTCAGTTACTGGTTTAGAGTATAGTCTTAAAGTTTTTCAAGTTCTTACATTTATTTGTACATTACTCTTAGAATGGAACAGAATCTTAGGTTATTTCATGCTAACTAAATAACCAAAAACTAATGTGTAATTCAGAATGCCAGCTTATTAATTTAGAATAGGAAAGGGGGAGGTTAAATTCTAATATTTTCAGGTTGGCCCATGGAAATGAGCAATATTGGTGCTGGTGCTGATTAGTCCTTGAGTAGCTGCTGGGTAGTCACTTGTAATTATGTAGCCTTAAGTGAGGTGGAAAAACCTAAAGAATGTAAAAAACCCAGATTCATGGTCTTCCTTGGAGAGCACTCATAAATACCAGTACATTCTTGGTTTTGAACTTTTTTTTGAAAAGATTTGTTGCAGATCCTCCTATTGCCACTTTAAAAACACGATTGAGTGGAAACTTAATAATGTTCTCCTTAGCTCTCTAAGACACAATGATCAGACTTTACATGTAAGTGTATTTAATGAGATATATTTCAACCATCACATGGGGTGCATTTCTTTATAAGCCAGTCACCTAGAAAGCTGTTTGAGCTATATGGTACCCAAATGACTTTTGCAGTTTTGTACAGTCCTCATTTATATTCATGGAAGACAGGGTTAGGATGAATAAATCTCCAAGTTTTACTTTGTAGCTGTCCAAATCTTATCCAGTTACTCATATGTGAGCTGCTAAGATAGATCAACAGGATATTATAGGGTATATAATAGGGTGCCATGATAGAAAACAGATAGGGACTAGAGCAATGGCTCGGTGGTTAAAAGTACTTGCTGCTTTTCTAGAAGACCTGGGTTCAGTTCCCAGCACATGGGACCTTCTTACTGCCTGTAACTCCAGTTCCAGGGATCTGATACCCTCTTTTGGCTTTGGCATCAGCTATATTCGTGCAAGCAAAACATTCATATACATAAAATAAATAACCTCAAAAGGAAAGAAAAAAAAATGGTTAGAACTGGGAATTAGGTCTTATTTTGTGACTTCTAGCCTTGTGATCATGAAAAGGTCAGTATAGTTTTTGTCTTAAGTTTTGATTTCCTGGTCCTTAAAAAGGATTTTGCTTCCTGCTATGGAATAAGAAATTTCCTTCCAACCAATTTAGATTTTCTCAACTCTTACTTTCGTGCCATTCAACTTACCTGTTAGAGAACCATATCAAAGTTAGTTCTTAGCCTGTGTGTGTTCATGAGCCTTAAGGGCCAGAATGTGATCGTATCCAGCTCTTGGAGCATCTGGATTCACGAGGAACTCCTGTCTGCTGCTGCATTTAATTGACCACCATCCATTGTTCACAGTTTTACTCATTGTTCTCTCATAAAGCAATCTGCCCAGCAGTGCTTTAATGTGGACTTCTTAGTTTAGCATCAGTGGAAAGAGTGAAAGACAGCTATAAAACTGTACTGAGCTAATGTGTCACACATATAGTGAAAAATATAGATAAGGTTCCTGCCTTCATGTGCATCATGGTCTAAAGACAGAGTGAGAAAAGCCAAAGTATCTTTTAAAAGACGCTTAGTTATATCTGAGATAAAAAAGACACTGAATTGAAAATTGAAAAGAAAAAAATTTAAAACAGAAAATTAACACCAGATCACAGTACTCATATCATTTTAAGGTATATTTATAAAAGTATAACTCAGAATTTAAAAAGACAAAATAAAAAAAATCCTACTTGGATCAAGAAAAGTGATAAGGAACCATTTGGCAAACACTGTGGTTAATACATTTTGGTAAATGTGGAACAGGAGGAAGAGTGTCAGTCAGAGTATAAGCCTTGCTTAAGGAAAAAGCAAGCATCCCAGTGTGATTGTAACGGAAGGTATGTAGGTGGAGTCATAGCCCTGAAATGAGTTTTACTCAGAACTTTAGATACTGCTCTAGATACCGCTCTAGAGAAGATGGAAAGATTTGGGTGTGGATATGAGTGTGAGACAGCATATTCTGTGCAGCCCAGACTGGCCTGATACTCACTGTATATCCCAGGCTGGTCTCAAACTTATGGCAGTCCTCCTGGCACAGCCTCCCAAATGCTAGATTTATCTTGCTATCAAAGCTAGTTAAAGACATGATAAGAAAATGAGTTATAAACATAGCAGTGAAAAATCCTTAGCAAAATATTAAACCAGCAAATTTGGCAGCATGCAAAATTATTTACTGTGATTGAATAGAGTTTTATCCTAGGAATGTATCTTTTCCTTTTTCTTTTTTAAGGCTGGTTTGGGGGTGGGGGGCGTTAAACAGGGTCTCACTATATAGTGCAGGCTGACCTGGAACTTGTTATTTAGACTAGGCTGGCCTAGAACTTGCAGTGATCCTCTTCTTGCCTCTTCTGAAAGCTGGGATTAAAAGTGCTCCCCACTACATGCTCCCTTGAAACATTGGTTTTTAACGTTTGAAAATAAATTAATATACCTAATAGGAGAACTGAACTACACGATCTTCTCAGGCAATGCAAAGCATTTGACAAGATTCTATGCATTTATAAAAGTTATAATGATGAAGTGAGTCTTGATGCCAGGCAATGTGGTGCATGCCTTTAATCCCAGGACTCTGGAGGCAGAAGCAGGCAGATGTTTGTGAGTTCAAGGCCAACCTGATTTATGTAGGGAGTTCTGGGCAAGTTGGGGCTACAGAGAGACTCTGCCTCAAAAAAAAAAAAATAAATAAATAAATAAAAAGCACCAAGATGGAAGAGAAATGAAAATTATCTTTATTCATGCCAGTTCCCACAGTTATAAAATCCTAGGGAATCTACAAAAAATTTATTAACAGATGAGTTTGGTAAGGTCTCTTGATAGAAGGTCAGCACTCAAATCACTTGAGTTTCTATGTAGCAGCTTTGGGTGATCCACAAGTGAAATTAAGAAAAAATCCCAGCACTTGGGAAGCAGAGCCAAAGGATTGCTATGAGTTCAAAGCCAGCCTATGTTTCAGGTAGTTAAGACCCTGCCTCAAAAAAACAAAGGAAGGGGACTGGAGAGATGATTTAGGGGTTAAGTACACTTGTACAACCCACAAAGACTGGAGTTCAAAGCCCAGCACCTGTGTGGCTAACTCAGCAAATCCCTGTTAAGGCCAGCACTGAGGGATCCTCCACTCTCTTCTGCCTACAGGCATACACATGTGTGCAATACTCATGCAGATACATACATAAATAAATCTTTCAAAGAAACAACCAAGAGGAAAAAAGAAAGTAACTCTATTCACAATAGCGTGAAAGAGAATTTAGAAATAAGTAGGCACGAACTTTACATAGAAAATGTAGGACTTGTATATTAAAACTACAAAACTTTACTCAGAGATATTAGAATAACATTTCTTGTTTATAATTTAGAAGACTTGGCATTGTTAAAATGTCACTTTTCTCCCAGTATATCTATAATATAATCCCTTCAAAATTCTATTGGAATATTTTTGGTAGAAACTAATAAGATAGTTCTGAAATTTGTATGGCATGAAAAGAATATAGAATATTTAAAATAAATTTTAAAAGGTCAGAGTTAGAAGGCTTATATTATCTCATCTTAAAATTTAGTATGAAGCAGGGGGCTGGAGAGACAGCTCAGTGGTTAAGAACACTGGCTATTCTTACAGAAGACCCAGATTCAAATCCCAGCACCCACATGGCAGCTAACAACTGTCCGTAACTCCAGTTCCAGGGGATCTGACAGACTCTTCTGGCCTCCTCAGGCATTGCACGACACGGGCGCACTTACAATCAGGCAATACACTCATACACACAAAATAAAAATAATAAAATGTTTTAAAAAAATTTAGTATGAAGCTAACTGGGCATGGTGGGGAGACCCTGTCTCAAAAATGCCCCCCCCCCCAAATTAGTATGAAGGTCTGGTAATCAAGATACTGGCATGAGTAATAGATTGATGTAACAGAATTGAAAAGTCTAGAAATAAACCCTTACCATTTTGTGGTTTTTTTTTTTTTTTTTTTTTTTCATCTTTTGAGACAGAGTCTTCTTAGGTAGCTCAGGCAGGTCTTAAACTGTCTACAGATTTTCAGCTCCTGCCTCAGCCTCCTTAATGTGGGACAGGTATGAGAGATCATGCCCTGCTATAAATTCTTTTTTAACAAAAATGCCAGACAGTATTTTTCAGTAAGTGGTGCTGAAACAGTTGAGTATTTGCAACTGTAAAAATGGGCTTTTATTCTTATCTTATACAATGCACAAAAAGTCACTTAAAATGGATTATAGATTTAAAAATAAGAAATAAAGCTAGATTTTCTAAAGAAAAATGTAGGAAATCTTGTCACCTTGAAATGGCCACAGACTCTTAGAAACACATCTATAAGAGAAAAAAGTTGTAGTAATACATACCCAGAATCCTAGCACT